TTGATTTTTAAGAAAGGTGTTATTCAGTTTCCCTATATTTGATTTTTTCCTTGTTCTTCCTGTTACTGATTTCTAATTTTATAGCATTGCAATCTGAGAAGATGCTTTATGCTATTTTGATATTTTTTAATTTGTTCAGGGTTGCTTTGTGACCTAAAGTATGGTCTATTTTGCAGAATGATCCATGTACATTGGAGAAGAATTTGTACTGTGCAGCTGTTGGGTGGAGTGTTCTGTATATGTCTATGAGGTATAGTTGCTTGATTGTGATGTTTAGATCTTCTGTATCTTTGTTGAGTTTCTTTCTAGTTGTTCTGTCCTTCATTGAAAGTGGTGTGTTCAAGTGTCCTACTATTATTGTGGAATTGTCTGTTTCTCTTTTCAATACTGTTAGAATTTTTTTTATGTATTTTGGAGCTCTGTCGTTCGGTATATAAATATTTATTATGGTTATGTCCTCTTGGTGAATTGACCCTTTAGTCATTATATAGTGCCCATCCTTGTCTCTTATGTTGGATTTTTGCCTTAAAGTCTATTTTATTAGAGATTAATTTGCCAGTTCTGTTCATTTTTGATTACTGTTTGCTTGATATATTTTTTCCATCCTTTGATTTTTAGCTTATTTTTATCTTTGTGTGTCTCTAAGTTGTGTCTCTTGTAGGCAACATACTGATGGGTCATTTTTTTTATCCATTCTGTCATTCTCTGTCTCTTGACTAGTGTATTTAACCCATTTACATTCAGTGTGATTATCGGTAGGTATGAATTTATTGCTGTCATTTTGTTGTGCTTTATTTTTTTTGTGGTGTTAACAGTTTTTTTGTTCCACTTACTTTTCTGTACTGAGTTCTTCTTGTTTATAGGTTTTCTTTTCATTTCCTTCATTGTTGTTGATTTAGTGGTTACTAAGTTTTTATGATTTTCTTCTTTTTTATTTTGGTGAGCATGTTTATTAATTTTCTTTGTTGTTACCCTGAGATTTACCTTTACCTTCCGAAGTTTAAAACTCGTGTTATGTCTTCATATCACCCTGGCTTCCTCTCTGTATAGCAGTTCTGTAGCAACACCATTTATTCCCCCTTTTTATTTTGAAGTTGTCAT